ATACCTAACTTGATGTGCTGCTTTTTAGCTTAATTGCCCGTATGCTGTATTCTGCCTGCTTTTCATTGGTTGCTCCGGTGGATGACATTGGCCGCCTGGTCACCACCACAACCAAGGTCATTGGCAAAGATCGTAATTCTCGATAGATTATGTTGTTTTGCCAAGGCACTCTCCGGACCACCGTTGTTGACTGCGTTGCTCAGTGGAATATTGGTGCCCAGGCGGCCAGGGAGCGCAAGACCTCTAAGTTGTCATCGGTTGCCCCTTCGCAAGTGGTTCTCCCTCTCAAGGTCCAGCTGTACAATCTTATGATCGACCAATCGGAAGAGGAGGGATTGCAAGGTGAGGTATTGGCCAATCTACGGGCTTCTCCACGTATTGCTGTTGAGGCTGTCTTCCATGACCAACCACCGGAGGACCCTGCAAACCGTGGATCCTTAATGGACGGCTTGCGTGTCCGTGCCTTGCTATCCCGGCCTGAAGTTGCCATTGTGTGCGCCAAAGGTTTGTCCGGCTTTTCCATGTTGGGTATCGGAGTTGCGAGGTTCTTCCCTGGACCGGCTCTTCGCGATGTTCTTCGTGGCTCAAATTATGAGGAATTGATGAATTCGATCAGGAAAGATAAGGGGAAATGGAGTGCAGAACGCCGTGGCTCCGCGCTCGCTCGCGACGATGGCCGTAAACCCAAAAAATGAGCTGCAACTCCTTGGCTTTACCAGATCGGTGACATATCGATAATTGATTTGGTGGCGGCACCGTCCGCTACCTGATTTTCCGTCGGTATCGTCCGGCGGTTGAGAACGGCTCGGTACTGTCGGGCCGTACGCCCTCTGGACCCCTAACCCCATTCCTACGTCTGAGGACAATTTGACGATTGAGATCCAATTTATCTCTATCTTCGACTACCTAGGTGTTCTTATTGTAAACGATGGATCTTCCCAATAGACCTGACCCCACGGAAAATTGCCCAGAAACAAAAGGCCCCGGGTTAGTATGTGGCCCGTCAAACGGCTGCTCAGTTGGCCCAGGTGACCATGCCAATCGAAAGAATTCGCGCGAAATGTTGGAAACCTACTAGTGCGGCCAGGAGCCAAAATACGGAGGGAGTTCTTTTCTGTTGTGATATACCTGGGTGCTCGGGCATACACAACACGACATGGATTTTCTCATCATAAATGTTTGTCTCACCCTAACGGGATTTTTCGTGCTTGTGGTTTTGATTGTCCGCATTGCCCTTGTGGATTGTATGCGAAAATGCTCTTATGTGACATTTATCTTATGAGCACGGCAATTGCCCGGCGCCCTATGCGTGTCCAATTTGTACCGATTTGGCCTGGTCGTTGATCATCCCATTGTCCAAATTGATTTATCATATCGTTGTCCTTTATGTGAGCTTGAGCCTGGTGACCCTACTTTATTTCATTCGCAATTCCATTTTCGTTATCATTTCTTTCGTATGCATACCTAATTGGATGTGTTGCTTTTTAGCTTAATTGCCCGTACGTTGTATTCTGCCTGCTTTTCATTGGTTGCTCCGGTGGATGACATTGGCCGCCTGGTCGCCACCATAACCAAGGGCGTTGGCAAACATCGTAATGATCGATAGATTCTGTTGTTTTGCCAAGGCACTCTCCGGACCACCGTTGTTGACTGCGTTGCTCAGTGGAATACTGGTGCCCAGGCAGCCAGGGAGCGCAAGACCTCTAAGCTGTCATCGGTTGCCCCTTCGCAAGTGGTTCTCCCTCTCAAGGTCCAGCTGTACAATCTTATGATCGACCAATCGGAAGAGGAGGGATTGCAAGGTGAGGTATTGGCCAGTCTACGGGCTTCTCCACGTATTGCTGTTGAGGCTGTCTTCCATGACCAGCCACCGGAGGATCCTGCAAACCGTGGATCCTTAATGGACGGCTTGCGTGTCCATGCCTTGCTATCCCGGCCTGAAGTTGCCATTGTGTGCGCCAAAGGTTCGTCCGGCTTTTCCATGTTGGGTATCCGAGTTGCGAGGTTCTTCCCTGGACCGGCTCTTCGCGATGTTCTTCGTGGCTCAAATTATGAGGAATTGATGAATTCGATCAGGAAAGGTAAGGGTAAATGGAGTGCAGAACGCCGTGGCTCCGCGCTCGCTCGCGACGATGGCCGTAAACCCAAAAAATGAGCTGCAACTCCTTGGCTTTACCAGATCGATGACGTATCGTTAATTGATTTGGTTGCGGCACCGTCCGCTACCTGATTTTCCGTCGGTACCGTTCGGCGGTTGAGAACGGCTCCGTACTGTCGGGCTGTACGCCCTGTTGTTTCTGTATTTATTTTCCTTTCTTCGCCTTTGGTTCTTCCCTGTGGTTCTGTTTCTTTCCCTGAAATTTGTTCTTTTGGTTATAACCTCCTAGAGCGGTTTATGTTGTATATATACGCTGAACAATTTTGGCCACCGGGTTTGCCCTACATAACCACCAAGGAGCCGGACCAGGCTAACGCTTTCCTTGGTTGGGTATTACAGCATCCTAGTGATAGATTTTGAACCTGGGGCGATGGGATTTCATGCCCCGAGAACGCTCCCCCTCCAGATTATTTGGAAATATATGCATGTATTTTTCAAGAATTCTAATTATCCTGTTGGATGGAAATTTATTATTTACAATAATATATTCCATTCTAATCTTTTATATATGGATTTGAAACGGGGGATTGATGCCATCCTTATTTTATTCCGCGACCCTCGAAAGATCCTGAATATGCATACCATTTTCATCGATCGTAGAAATACGAACGCTGAAATCTACCACAAGGCTAATGCAGCTGTTGCATCCAGATATAATTACTCTTCCAAATTAGTTTGATATATCGAAATATATTTGCATTACAAAAATAATATTAATTAAATATATTGTTATTTTTTACAAATTGAATATGTATTTATTCTTATTTTATCATTTTGTAATTAATCATTATGCAATTTCATTATATTATTTCTATATATTCATTTATTATCAAATACATATTCAATCGAAAATATATAAATATTTCAATTCATTTAATTCCCTTACTGTTATTTTTTTATATTTTACAAGTAAAAAATAACTTATATTTTATATTAATTATATATTATTATTCAATTATATGACCGTCCAAAATTAAATATTTATATTTAAGGCCAGAGGGGATGAACGAAAACTAGCCGCCTTCCGGTGGTCTGCTGCTGGTGCTGCTGCCGCCGCTGCTGCGCTAGGCGCTGCTGCGCTGGGTGCTCTGCAGGCGCCGGGTTGTCTGTTGCTGCTGGGTGGTCTGCCTCTGCTGCGGTTGCTGCTGCCGCAGCGTTGGGTATGCAGCTACTGCTGCCGGGTATGCAGCTGCTGCTGCCGCTGGATGGTCTGTTGCCGCTGCGCTAAGCGCTGCAGATGCTTAGTGTGTTACAGCTGCGTAATGGTCCCGCTCACCACGCGCAAGGGGGAGTCGAACCGCGGGCAGGGGGAGGGGTCCATAAAATTGATTTAATCAATTATTTAAGGTTTCTAAGGTGCGTCCACCCCATCACTTAACTTGCTAAAGAAAGAGCAATTCCTGCTAGCTAAAGCTAGCTTTCGTAATATATTAATTAATATTAATTATTATTTAACAATTAATATATACATATAATATTCAATATCATTAACATATCAAATTAATATAAATATATATAATTTAATTAAATTTATATTATATATATTAATATATTTATATATATATAATTATTTTTATATCAATCAAAATTTAAAAATATCATTATTAAATTCTATTCAATTATTTATATTTATATTAATTATAATGGCTTCATTAAATTATATATTCAATATAACAATATATTCGAAAAATAATATAATTATAAAATTAGACAAATAAAGATTTCTTAATCAATAATTAAATATAATTAACAACGTAATAAATATAAATTCAATAACAAATAATCCCTAAAAATACCTTACGGAAATATAAAATACAATTCCAAAGAAAAAAATCACGAAAACAAATTACAACAAAATGAAAACAACAAACACTAAACGTCTCTTCTTTTTCATTAAATGTACTAATTGATATTGTTATTAATATTATCTATTGGTTTCGGTCATATATCTCAAGCATTCAACATATTTGTATTGAATAGTAACATATAATAACAAGATATCCTTTCATTAAAATGAAAGGAATACAAATATTACAAAATTTATCAATAATGCTTGGTGGAGGTGCACTAGCTCGTAATATTTGTAGTAATGAACTCCATATATTTATTCTATATACTTATCAATTCCCTAGTTTGTTCCCTCATGTTGGCCGACCCCCTCCCTCTCCTGCGCGTGCTCCCTCGCTGCATCACTACATTCTACGTAGAAATCACTACATCGGAAGCCATCACGTCACATATCGTCACATGATCTTGCATCAGTCACAAACTCATGCCTCGTTGCCATCCACCCCTCAACACTCCTGTGGCCTATTTAATACTAAAACTTCCGCCCACCGGCTCTGCCGGAGGATTGCCTTGCACTTGTATTTACATTTTTCGACTAAATAATCTATGATTGTCGGGCTCTTTGTCCCCTTTCAATGGTCTGGTGTGTCCTCCGTAAGGCCGTACCTCAAACTATTCGTTAAAAAATCAAGAGGACAGCGTGCAGAAAACGTATAAAACGTAAAATGAAGGGCCAAACCGTGGCAAGTCTGTTGAGATAGCAGCTGACGTGAAATGTAACAGCCAAAAAGGGGGTTAGTTGTTTAGGCATATATCGTGCAGAAACAATACTTTCCCAACTGCGCAAGGAATCTAATTACGTTGACTGTGTGGGGCCATGTGGGGTGTCCATTCGTATTTCGATAAGTCGCGCAGCGGCGGGGGGCTCCAACCAATCTACCCCATACAGTAGTGCCCATTGTGCTAGTGTAGGTTTAGTTGGTCTAGCCCGTGATCTGCGACTCCAAATTGGTGGATCGTGTGTTTCATATGCATCCAAACTCTTGTCTTTACTTCATCGATATCCGATCGCCATGCTCCTGTTTTTTGAGTGAAGCAACATAAAATAACTGCCATGCTGCTTCACAACTGCTTTCTTGTAGGTTTGGGTCTCAAAGGGCTCAAAGGCATCAACAATCTCCCACTTCCTTGGCATAAAGTCTCTGTACAAAAGTGAACTTGAACCGTTGTTGTCGCTGCGTGGATGAGAAGTTGGCCCTTGATCAATCCTTGCTCTGCCCACTCTGCCCTGCGACATCCTGCAAACAAGGCACTCAGCCGAAGCACAGTGTCCTTTCTTCAGTTCTTCACCATCTTTGACACCCAAGCATTCCCCCGTACTGTGCCAAATGCGGCCATCGTCGTCGAACATGAACCTAGCATGGCATATCGGGGAATCCATTGAGTTCTCGTCAGGTGGTTCTTGTCTTCATGCTTTTCCATGCAAGAAACTCAAGAAACCATAATTATAGAGGATTGCACACGCTCCCTCAAACAATTGAATCTGAGCAGGGCCCCAGGCAGCTTGGAACATGTTCCATTTCCATGACTTGGTCGAGGAGCTGCTGAGGGGAGCTGCGCCCAGTGATATCACATAGCGCAGTCTCTGGGCCCTTGCCAGTGAGATCTGCCCAGCAATCCTGAGTGCATTGCACAAATCTCATGCAGGGTTTAGCAGCTAGTGCGCGTGTGGTACTTCAAGAAAGCATGCACTGCAAGACCATGCAAAACCTATCTCGTATACTCCAAAGTCCTCCAATAGGTTGACATTGGTTTGAAGATGGCCTTCAAACACGACCGGTGTGAGGCCACCACCCCAAATGGGTAGAGGGATCTCCTAAGAGTGACGTCCCAGCCATCCCGTGCCAAGTCACCAAAGAATTCCACTCTCGAATGCCAGAGCAGCAGGTCTCCAGTGGCTGAGCACTCACCTGGCGGTTTGGAAGGACTGGTATTGCGTCAAAACATGTATGGCCCACAAAAAGACTGGACTCTTCGTTAAGTGAAGGCTTGTTTACCTTCCCTGCTGGCTTGACGCTTGCCCAAAAGTATCAAACATATACAGTAAGAATCAATTCATGTATCTAAAACACTAGTCAAGTTCACCCTCCGCGCAAAACTGTCCAACTGGGCAAGAACTCGGTGTCACCTCTTCCTAGCCCATTGCCCTCTCCCATGGCCTTCGCAGCCTCTGCGCGTGACATGCATACTGCAAAGACCCACTGGCAGTCTGCCTGGGCACAATGTTTTAAAATCTTCGAAGTTTGCTGATTCTTGTAAATATGTTTTTAACTGTTGTATAAGGCACACACGTTGCAAGAGCAGTGCCTTCAGCATGGGACAAAGGTATATATCTGCCCGAGTTCGAAGATGAATGCAGTCTTGCTGACCCCCCAACTCTCAGACCCAAGAAACATCTGAACAAACGTCCAAACCTCTTAAACACTTCGAGCCACTACCTTCGAGCAAAAGGAGAGACGAGAAAGAAAACCTCACTACAGCTCTGATCCGCCTGCGACCAGCGATAACTTTCAGCATCTCTTCTTCACTATGAACCCCGACACAAGAAACTGCCAATACCCAGGGTCGGTGACATCAGAGGCACCTGCTAGGCAATCGCCCACTATAGTCTTCCATGGTCGTTTTTTGCCGCACCGAGCGCCGAACCGTTTGGGGCGCGACGTGTAAACCAGTGGGCTCTGCCGGGCTGCGTGGCACCATTCAGAGCCGTGGCCCTGAGGGCATGCACTGCAACCACCGGTCCTTAAACGCAAAGATACCGTCTGGGACTAGACAAAACAAGAATGCTACAGGAAACTTAGGAAACTAGTGGAACCATCTGGAATGCCAAGACTCACTTTGTGTCCACCACAATTTGTTTCCAAATTGGCATCGTCATCAGCCGATTGAATCAATCGAGAAAGCGCTTCAGGCTTTGGAAACCTCAGAAGTTTGGAGAGCTCAGGGTCCACCAGCTGGCCTAGTTGCCTAGGCACATGGCACTCAAAAAACAAACATTGACAGATGCCACTTGTGAGTAGGCTACTCCCCAAATTGCAAAGGCAACATCAAATAGAAGCAATAGAACCGTGCACCTTATAGCCGCAACCCTTGTTCCTGGAACACAATCTGCTTGGGTTCCATAATGGGAGACTCAGCCAAACATCAAGAATGAGGAGGCCACCCAAATCATTTGCATCATGCGATACTTACTAAGTGCCAATACACTACAGCTGCAGGAGGCATGTTGAAAGACGCATTTGTTTCAGCATGCGAAGCAGTGCAGCCGTTGGAAGTTCAAGCAAGAAACGCTTCTGGAATCATGTTCCCATGGTGCAGCCATGTGCCACCAGAACCTCGTTGATCAAAATGTCGGGCGGAAGTACAACACAAAAGCAGTGAAACAAACAGGCGATGCAATCCGAAGCGTTCAAACTATCATCAAAAGCAGCTGCGTTTTGTTCCATCACATCGCCGATTGAGGATCCTACAGTCGCTCAAGAGGTAGCCTCGATTCTGACGTCGCAGGCATTTGCCCGTGCTGCTACTACGAATACGAAAGACCTCAGCAAGTGCGGCTGTGACCAGCCACGTGGACATGAGCAAACCCTGTCATCCCCGGAGATCCCGACTCCCGTGAGCAAACATCGGAAGTCGAACAAAACATGAAAACAAAAAGGAAAAAATTGGTGGTCCTGTTTATCTAAAATTCTATAATTGAGTCTGCCACCTTTTCCGGCAGCATGCCGCTTTGGAGGTAGACCTGACATGGGTCAGCCGTATCATTCTGGCCTCCATTGGCCTTCTGAATGACTGCCAACCAATTCATAGCTTCAACATGGGAATGAAAACTTCAATGGGTTAGGGCGGCTCCCGTACAAAGAAACTTGGCAGCTCCCAATCCTCTCAAAACATCTCAAAACTCCCGCGCCTTTCGAAAGCGATGCAAGAAATAAGCGAAAGGCTTGCAGCCTAATCGCTTTTTCAACTCCATAGTCTTGGACACATCTACATGCGGCTCGTTTCCTCAAAGCATGCCGGGTGCATGAAAAACTCACTGACTGAGATATAGGGCCTCACGCTGAGATGGCATATTGAAAGTGGGGGTGAACGTTGCACATGTGCAAATAAAGATTGAACAATTGAAAAACCTCAATTTAATACATCTGCTGAGATCTCCATTCCGATCTTGTCCTATTTCTTTCCTTCCTCCCTCCCTTCCTCAGTTGTGCCCTTTCAATGATATGCTAGACTATGCGGAGTCGAGGCAGGGCCCAAGTAGGGTGTCTGTGCTTGTGCTTTCCTTTCTGCCCTGGCTCTGATACTTGATGCATCATTTGGGTCAGTTGTGCCCATCTTACGCTCCCATGTCATAATGCTATTTGCCATCTTGTTGCGAATACCCATATTTAGATTGTGTTGGTGTACCCAGGTGCACCCACACAGCCAAACCAAGAGGCCGCCACGAAATTTGGGCAGAAACTCATCCCACCATGCAGCGGCCGTGCGGGCGACATTGTCATACTTCTGGCGAATCTTGTATCTGGCAATGGTGCCTCGCACTGCGACGCCCGCAGTGCAAAGGAAAGGATGACACAGTAGCTGGCATGAAACCGGTTGAAACCTATTGCAACGGCCCCTCTTATCCCGTTGTGGTTCGATGGTTTCCTTGGCATTTGTCTCACATCAACAGGCGACCGCATCTGATAGGCAGGCCGTGCTGCGCTTGTCCTTCTCGGTGCGCCACATGTGCGCCACTATGCTGCTCTTCGCGCGCACCACATCGCCTGTCACCCAACATTGGAGATGTTTATATAATGTTTGACAATGATTGAATCAAACAAAAGCTTGACTAGTGCAACTGGCAAGGAATGAGCGTGGCTGGATCCAAAGAAATCTCTCTCTCTCTATATATATATATAATATACTGGGTCAGCTACCCTCATTCCCTACTTTCGTTGCACTCGTCAGCTAGGAAAATCTCTCTGAATCATGTGCTGCCCAAGAAGAAGGGGTTCCACAAAATAAGTGACTTGCCAGGCTGGCCGCCACAAAGCCAGGTTCTGATGGGCTGCTCGGTATTTTCCCCACCTGTCACAAAGCAAACGCTACCACCGACACAGACTGAGTGCCATCTTTCTCTCTCTCTCTCACTTGTGTTCTTGTTAACTGGTGATGCCAAAAACGTTCAAAGGCACTGACATGCCACGACACACTTTCAGTGTAGTGAAATCGCAGGATGCTAAAACTGCGACTGCGGCTCAGGGGGCTGGAGTAAGAAACCACGTTGGGCCAAAAATTCTGTTTATATACCCGGTTCTTTCAAGGCAGGCCACGAGAGCAATAGCAAGCTCATGGGGTGGTCATTGCTGTAGAGATGCGGTGGGCTTCCAAGATCACTTCCCAAGACCCCGTTTGCTGGAATCTCCAGCAGTCTCTAAGTCTCTAAGTGAAGCTCCTTCCCACATACACACAAAGGAGTTGAACAAATCAGTGCTAAGGAGCCGGAGGCTTTGTACAGATTGACTGTTTGTTTATCCAAGCAACTCTGTGCAGGCTCAAATGGCAGAAATACTGCCCGGTGCCCGCTATGGTTTCTTTCACCGAGGAGCCCCAACCATGCATGCCAGGATCAAAACCTCCTGATTCTTGCCACCAGCTGCGTGTAGTAGCAACCAACCCGCCACTGATGACGGGGGAATAAGCAGACTCATCATCGTACCACCACCAGTCCTTAGAAACGTCAATTGTCCATGCCTGGAGCTCCACACGTTTCTTCCCTGTTGATGTTGCTCCAAGTTTCAGCATTGAAATTGACCCAGCACTTGCCCACATATCCCCCATTGGGGATTTCATCCCAGGTATCAATGTTCAATGCGCCAATCATGGGAATGACCAGCCTCCGCGACTTCTCCTGCAGGCCACTGCTACACAGGCTGTCCTATTCCATGACTGTGTGACTGCTGTGAGGTATATAAATTTTGTCCAATCTCACATCTCACATTTGAGAGAACATCCCCCTTGCAAAATATGCAAGTTTTACAATTGTACATCACTCTTCCCCGTCAGGGTCAGGAGATATGCGGCTCGTCAAACTGCTGACTGATGTCATCTTGTGGCCCTGGTATTTCAACTCCGGGTATGATTACATAGAAACGCCCCCTGCCGCCGCCATCTCCGCAGCCCCCCTCCCCCGTCGGAGGTTTTTGAAGTTTTTTTCGTACGGTCCCAACACCGACCCGGACGATCTGGGAGGCCTTGAGGAGTTGGATAGTCTCTTTGTACCATCCTCTTCGTGGTGCCACGTGGCAGTCCTCAGAGAGGATCCGAGACAGTTTGATGAGTCGATCCTCTCGACCGAGTCGCGGAAGACCCCCGCAAAAAAAGAGACGAGAGGATCCGAGAGGCATAGAAGCCGATGAACTCGCCTTTGGCTGCATCGCCGCCTGAGCTGGGTCATGTGCACCCCAAATATATATATATATATAAATATGGGATGACGTGGAGTCTTTCGACTACTTCCCCTACAGTACAGATTTCGGTGAGTAAGACATCTAATAGATAGTGAGTTTCCCTCAAGATCAATCAGGCAACCACTGCAGCAATTAAGATAATTAAGCTAAGTTCATTGACGTGTGAATGAGAACTTGTGACTGCTGCGCTAACACAGCTGACAATACAATAGCAATTCGAGTCGTATACGACATGGGCCAAGTGAATCAAGATGAATCAAGTGTTTGGGCATGGGACACGCAGGGTGATTCGCAATGACTCGCATGTGGACAGGAATGCGAGCAGTGACAAAAGGCATCTTGTTGAGCGCCCTTCTGCGCCCTTGATGTTGGGATGTTGTGCGCCCTTCTGGAATCCAAAGTCCCCAAATGTCCACCATGTTCTTCGCCAAGCAATAGCCATGCAACGTTTCTCAGATGGATTGGCATGGAGTCGATCAGTCCTAATGAGTCCTACATAATAAGCCAGGTGGCGCTAGGATTTCATGCCGATCGGATGTCTTTCCACCCGTCGGCACAAGAATTTGGCCGCACATGGAAGGAAAGGTGATGATGTGAGAATCAACTTATTCAACCTTACGGTCTGACTTCTGTGTTGACATTGACGGCGGTGCTCATCAAGGCACACCTGAAGGCGGTGATGGCTAAAGCCTGCTACAGCACACCGGAGCGTCAGCCCGAATGACGAGGCGTCAATGATTCCACCGAAGGATTGGCATGGATTTGCATGATATGCAACCTTGTCTGCGAGTGCCAGTGAATCAGAATGAATCGGAGAATGGATCAATTCAGCAATGGTTGGAGAAGGAATTTGGCCTTGGGCACGGGACACCACTCCTCCAAAGGTGGAAGAAACGGGTTGGAGAACCATAGACGCTGAAACAGAATGTACAGTACTGCCCAAACACTCAATGTGTGGAATGCTGACACGCGTTGGCTGTTCTTTGGGGTCATTGAATGCTTCATATTCCATACATGCTGCAGCATGCTGCCTATAGAATAATGAATAATGCAAACTGAATGCAATGCAGCACATGCTGTTTGCCACGCCAGATTTGGGCGCATCGATGTCAGGTGAGACAGTTTGGCAGGCCAGGCAACCAATCCATTGGGTGAAGGTGTACTTTTCCAAAGAATATAGCTAGAGGACTGACTTGTCAGCTCATTAAGCGGCCACCCATGCCTTACAAATGCATTTGCCAAACTTATAATGGATCCCGACCTTGTGTCGGATGGTGGCCGAGCATTGAGTGCGCGACGTATATACAGCATGCCAAAGAACATCTTGAAGCTAAAACGAACACACATTCCATATCATTCCATCTCAAAGGGTCTTTAACTGCCGCAGGATTAAGCTGCAAAGACAGCGGAAATCCAGTTGCCGCGTGCCTCTAGCATTGCACTCTGCCTGAAGTGCTTGTAAAAGACGATGGCAAACAGTTGCATCCTCCAAGCCAGGACTGTCAGGGATTTCCCGCATGAGCAGTCCAACAATGACCGGATCCCCAAAGACAATGCCTAAATCATCCAAGGACAAGCAGCTGCAAACTCCATCCACCCCACAGCGACCGCTGCTTTGTAAGACTCGCTGAAAATGGCGCCACAATTCATCTTCGAAGCTGCGTTGCTGCTGCAAATGAACTGAATCAAGCAGTGCCATGTAGTCTATGTAAGACTCGCCTGGGTGACGAAATGTTTGGAGAAATCTGGTGGATATAGCTTCTGCAATGGTTGGATGCCCCACAGCGGTCAACACGTGCTTCAAGTCTGAAGCCGTGAAAAAGCCGTTGCCGCTCATGTCAATCTCCTTGCAGCGGCACAGAAACTCCTGCAATTCTTCTTGTCGAAACTTCTTAACCAGGATGCTGGCGGTAAAGACCTCGATCAAAGAAGTGCGGTAAAAGCGCCGCAAGTTCAACATGAATGAAGCAAACATCGAACCGGATGGTGAGTTGTCAGCTAGCCGTAGGATCCATGGATGGCTTAAAGCATCTTGAAGGGTCAAGCGATCCCAGAAAGAATGCTGCAAGCAGCCGGACACGAAGCTCTTAGCATCCTCTGAAATCTTGGACCAAAATGGTGGATCAAATGCCACCTCTCCACGATGAATCCGTGTCAGGATGGCATTGCGGGAAGGAGCAAAGAAGGGAGGATAGCCGCAAAGAAGGAGAAACGCGATGGCTCCAATGCTCCAAATATCTGCAGCTTGGTTTTTGGTAGAATAGCCACTTGAACCTGCAAGTGCCAGCCGCTGCTCTTCGACCCAGTCTGCATGTTCCACGAGCACATTGGCCAGCAGCTCTTCATCCAAAAGACTGCGATCAACTTGATCTTCCGGGAGCCATGTATTGCTGCTGACCTCAAGGTCATTCCCATTCCCAACATCTTTCTTCCGCTTGGGCTGCGGGGCGAACTCGGGCGCCAGAAAGACTAGCTTACACGTCTCAAAGAAATGCGGCAAGGAGGGATTCTGCAAGTCAGGGCCACCCACATGCTCCACGGCATCCCAGCGATGGGCTTTGAGCTCCAAGCCAAAATCCACCAGCTTCAAGGGCGAATGAGGTGACGCGTTGAGGAATCGGAAGCTCTCGGGATTCAAGCTTCCATGATGCATGTAATTGGCATGCAAAGGTACCAAGGCTTGTAGCATATGCTTTACCAGAACAGCAGTTTCCTGCTCTGTGAAATATTGTCTCTCCAGAATGCGCTCATAAACTGAGCCCCCTGTACAAAGCTCTTGAACTAAATGAATGTTCACGTAATCCTCAAAGACTTCAAAGACCTTGGCTATAGCTTCATTGTCCGAAAGCCTCTGCATCGAGAAAATGCACGAGTGAAGTCGCTCTTGGGCAGCTGAACCAAAAGGTTTTCGGAAGCTGCACAGCTGTCGCGGGACTCGCGTCTTCCTGTTTGGCAATGCAAAAATGACTAAGCCTACCCCACACCTACAGTGACCTACAGTCAGTGTCAATTGGACATCAATGGAAAATGGTGTCCTATAGGCATGGGACGACAATCCAAACAAAATCTTCCAACTCAACACATGGGTCCGATGGACTGCGATGAAGATCTGAGGAACTTCTTCTGGCTCCGGTGGTCGAATCTCGTAGTTGGCGGGAAGCCAGGAGGCCGCTTCCACCTGGGGTGACCCACGGCCGCTGGCGATCTGAAATGACACCTCCTCGGCAAAGTCCTCGAAGACATCATGATCTTTCGAACCCACCACCACGTCAGCAGCTCGAGGGGCAAAGCTGCAAGGACTGTTGTCATCTGGTTGAACGACTGGAAAGGCATCGCCTATCCAATCCGCTGATGTATCCAAGCGCTTTTGCATGCAGCATGCTCCCGCGCCCATTGAAACGCGCAAACTAAAGAGAGCTAGTAGTTAGGACAAGCCAGGGTTGGGTCCGTTGTTCCAACAAACTGCGGAGTTAACTGGATGGAATCAAGGTATATGATATACAGTAGGTACAAATAGGTACAATATATAGTAGATTAAGTACAGTAGATACCATAAAGGTGTCTATGCAAAGGGCCGAGAACCACCGTCGGGTTCAGCAATTTCAGAGTATGGGGATGCCTGAAGCATGATTGACAAAACTGGAGCTGGAAAGCTTGAAGTTAGCACCGGGATACACAGCGTATTTTCTGACTCTCTAACTATTAATTATAGCTAGACTCGATTGCTAATTTGACCTCGAAGCTCGTGCATCTGCTTTTCTATGCTTTTCTGCTTGACTAAGCATGGGCATTCTTCTAGGCTGTCTCGGGCCAAGACCAAACCAATGAGTCTTGAGTCTTGAACTTCTCAGACCCCTAGAAGTGACGTGACCAGCTTCTGAGGTCTGGCCATAGAGGTGGGAGTCCAAAAAACGCCCCCCCCTCCCTCCCCCCCTCAACTGATAAACAACACAAAACACAAAACGAAGCACACCATTACAACAAAACATACATCAGGCCACGTGCCTGTTTGCTTGGCGATCATCAGGCCACGAGGGCCATCATCGTGCCGAAGTACACGCAAGCGGCAGTTGGGCTGAATGCGTCTTTGTAGCCTTAGGGTGGAGGCCATCGCTCCTAGGGTGAAGGCCATCGCCACTAAGGTGAGATGCTGTGCTGGAATGGTCCGATCCACAAACAGAATCACAATGGCTGCGAGAACCAAGACATACCAAACGATGCTTGGAGTTTGACGATCCGCTCTCCAAAATGACTTCCCCAAAAAGCCTTGACCCATGACCCCTATCACCAGCACTTTTTGGGCCAAGCTGGCTCTATGGAGAGAGGTGGCTGCGAGCCGTCATCCACTACAATGATCTCCTGCAGAACCTCCGCCGGTGTCCTGGTCGCAACCAACCAGCCATTTGGTGCTTTTCTCTTCACTGCATCATCCACCGCCCCATCGTCCTGTTGCAGAAACTCTGAACTGTTTGGATGGTAAACTCACTCTCGTTCAGGCAAGGCAGGACCACAGAGATGCGACCTGGGAGTTTGCCAAGCCAACAGATCGAGGTTCTCTCAGCTTGCTCTGGAGGCTGAAAGTGCGCTACTCTTTGAAGACGCCTAGCTGCCTAGCTTAATTACTTCCCGAAGTCAATTCCCACACTCTGATGCTCAGAGTCCCCTGGTTCTACCTTTCCTTCTACCTGCAAATCGTGCACACCACCCAAGGCCCAAGCCTTCACCATCACCCGGCAACCGCCCGCGCAAGTAGCCCACTGAAGCATGTGCATCGGCAGGAAGGACCGCTAAGTCCCCTGGCAACGCAGGAGAATCAACAGGAAGACGAGAGGTTCTGAGCTTGCTGTGGGGTCACCCCGAACCATTCAGCGTCAACATCAAGAAATTACATGTATAGCGAGTCTTGTACGTGGACATCTTGCTCCTTCGTTTCCTTATGCGACCCCCAACGTGATTCTTAGGATTCTAGAGTCCAACATGTTCTGACAACCCTAAAATCCTGGTGCTGAAATCCAGGGGTCCCGTGCTTGTGGTTACTCACTGGCCAAAGAAAATAACAATAAAATTATATATATATATAAACGATACAGAAACAAAAAGAAACCCAACATTATGATAAAACATAAAGATAAAACACGTAAAAATGAATGTACCATATTCTGATTCTAACGCCAATACTCTATACCACTTAATGTGCGAGACAATAATGGATGCTAATAATCTAAAAATAAGGTTCTATCAAATTAGTGATGGTGCTCTATGTAACTGTCTCTTTATTTTAGTTGTCTTCTCTAGTCTTATTATTTATTGAATCCTAAGTTGTACAGGAAGTGAAGGAATAGATGACCTATAGATATAATGATGCTTAAAGGATTATTCAGTTTGATTTCTGTTCTTTCATGATCTATGTTGTCTATCTATTTCCATCTTATGACATTTTTATTGTGTTGCTGCTAAGATAAGAACAATCATATATGAAGTGAATATGAAGATAACACATAACATAAAGGTGTAAGATACAAAAGGGAAATGTAATATAAAATGATTGGATAAATAGGCAATAAAATGATATCATAATATCTTGTCTTCATGGTACTTCTTAATCCTACACTATTAGAAATTGAAGATTGAAAAAATAAGCATAAAGAAAATACAAATAACATTATTAAGGAGTTCATCTTTTTGTCCTTTTTGTTTTCTTTATCTATAATTCCAACATCCAAAATACGATTATAAATGAAACCAGGAAATATGACGTGCTTTTTTAATGTCAATCTGTGTCTATTTCTATTGGTTCTTTATTGTTCTATTTTCATCATATTGCTCAAAAGAAAAACAAAAAGGATACATAGACGATGACACCCAACCTTAAAAATGCAACTATATATGTTATTCATGTTTTCCCAATAGCATTCAAAAGGTTGGTAGCTATAATCTTTGTCATCACAAAAAATTGGGTAACAAGAGAAATAAAAATACATATGTCAACTTATTTATTGATTGATAACCAGCATTTAATGCCATTAAAAACAGAGACAAAACACACAACAGAAATGGTGGATTTATTTTCATGTCATTGTCATTTCGTGTATCTTAATCTGTCTTTTGGGATTCCACATTTAATGAGCAAACAAAAGGGACAAGTAAAACCATAATAGAATCCCAAAAGAATGGGACACTCATCTGGTCGAGAATGGCACCAATGGTGTGCAACCATTGTTTGTAACGCGCAACGGCTTCGGCCTGTGCGAAGGGATTCCGAAGATGGTGGGCTGCTCCTTCGCAGGAAAACCAAAAAATCGAACGGGCCAAGACACAAAACCTACTACCAATAATGCGAGCACTGTTTTTTCCCAATGTCTCAGTGTGGGCCAACAACAATCCAAACTGACTGTTTCTGATTGGCAAGCGTCGCCCCGCTGAGAAACAGGGTGACCATCAGCAGCTGCATAATCATGTTGAACAGCAAGCATGCCTGAGTTGCGCCAGGCGGCAAAATCTCATCATAAAAGCAAACCATGAGCAATCTTCGCCACAAAATAAAGGACCAATTCCTGCGGAAACATCTCTAGAGAGAGAGAGAGAGAGACAGACCTGGAAGTGCCCCAAAGCCAAAACAGAACAAATCCTTCTTTTCAACGTACCCGGCGCATCGTTTTGAGCTCCAAACAGGGCCCCTCCTGGATTTTTGGCCCAGTGGCCGAGCCCAGCTGCCCCGAGTCCATCAAGCTGTGGGCGAAAACGCCCAGCACCGACAGCCTGAGAATGGTTAGCCAGGTCCATCCTCGCATGACCCCATGACCCCCAAATCTCTTGGAAGAGCACTTCGGAAAGAGTCGGCGAGGCAGTGCATGTGACCCTGCTCAAGTTGCAAAAACATAAAAAGGTTCGACATGGTTCGACATGCCTCACGTACTGCCAAAGAAAAAACTTGCATTGATAATATAGTCCAATGAGCTTTGACCCATGGCTGAACCCTGGCGATGTCCAAAAAGAACTCAACAAAATAGTAGTGATTAGATGTTCTATGATTTTCGGGAGTCTAGACGGTTTGAATTTGAATATATTGAGCTTCAGCGCCCACCATCCGAATCACGTTCCCATCAACATGATATCAAGTCCATCCCTGCCTGCCTCGTGGTGAAATTCAACCCTAGGGTACCTGATCATCCTGCTAGTCATTCTGCTCAGGAAAACATTGCGGTTTCCTTCGCAGTGGTTACTAATTAAGGCTCACGATCGTGAATTCAATTGAGAATTTCATCAAAGTCCGGTCTGTGGGTCAAAACCGCCGCCAGCTCCCAAATAAATAAATAGCCGTGGAAGTACCGTCATCTAACTACAAGTGGCCGACCTATATATTGACGCATGTCCACTTCACGTCCGTACACACCCTTCTTTTTCGGCCAATTCGGGAGACATGGTGATTCCAAAGACCGCCAGCATCGAAGATTTCTCTTCATACCTGAAGTCTTGGTGGTCAAAGCCGCCAGTCAATTCTGAATGCCAACTCGACGAACAAAGCAAATTCTGAAAGGCAAAGGTCATGCATCTGTCATGGCCATCTCCGGCTTTGGAACAAGCAGCGTAGAGTACCAGAAGGGTTTCAGTATACCCATTATTCCAGAGGACCACGTTATATGTATATATTTTTTTTTTGATTATAATTGATTGTAATTGTATAGATGTAGTCGAGCCTATTGGGTCGCTGCTTTGGGTGTGAACCACCAAGGTGGCTGCCATACCCCAAGTCACGTTTCTCTTTTTCACCACTCCAGCCGTTCCCCTGTTCCCGGGGAATTGGGATGGAAGGGCTGTGCATCAAAGGACACAGCGAATGGACCCGCAGCTCCTCCCCACGTGGATTCTCAGTCCAAGAGACCAGGCACTTGGGCCTTCATCCGGATGTGCGGCGATGAGCCTCGGGAGAGATACAGTAACCCGGCCAGTCTGTGGCGGGGGTGGCATTGAAAGACCTTCAAAGATCTTTGATCGAGATATGTCGGGATGCGATCAATGTGATGATGCCTCTTGAATTCTTGACACCTTCTCACAAAGTCCGCCGAAGGTCAATAAATACTTGGCACACTTGCACAAAGTGCCCACTGGAATGCCACGACGTACCATCGCATCAGCCCCCAATGTCAGAAACTCTTGACTCTCGCGCCGTGTATGCTTAGAAAAGACACTTGGATGCTATGTTGTCTTCTGTTCATGGGAGGTATCTGCCCAAGTGTAGGACACTGGAATCTCCTGTTCCCTATCCCAGGTAAATCGCTGGGCGGCTCGGTGATATATTTTGGTCTTTAAAGGTGGAGCGCTAGAATGAATGACTTGTTGAAGTACTTCAAGCTATGGTTGTGATTACTAGCAATTACATTACATGCAGTTACT